CACGATTCAAATTTTTATGAAATTTTACGATTTCAATCCAAATTTAATTTCCACCCAAATTTTTAAATTCACAGAATTTGTGAATTTGATTTTGTTTTAAAGAAAATTAAAATTGTGAATTCGGGGTTTTTTGAAAGTTAAAACCCCAAAAATCATTCGTAAGTTTTCCCTTAAAAATGGCCCCGCTTAAAATTTCTTATATTGTTTCCCAATTTTATTTGATTTTTTTTAACCCTTAGATTGTAGTTCATCCCAAAATACTTAGATTTTTAACAAAAGGTTTAAAAAACAGAAATTTTATGTGATAGCTAGTTTGACTTTATACACCCCCGACAATTTAAATGGGGGGAGACAGCTGTTCAAGCGTCCCCCAAACTGTTTCCCCGTATATACATGTCGGCGCGGGGAAAAACAATTTAAAGTCATAATATTCATCTAATTTTTTAAAATTTTTCCCCCCGTATTTCCCAAATAAAACAAAGTTATGGGTTAAAAGTCAACATCCAAAGGAAACATGCTAAAAAACTGGCCCTGTGCAAGCTTTACTTTACTGAAATTTTTACCCGAAAAAAACCCCCCACTACCCATGAATCGGTTTTTTTTTTATTTGAAAGTCCCCAAAACTTACATTTTTCATGAATTTAAATTTTAAATTTTTTTTTTCATAAAGATTTTGTAAAACTCCAAAATTTCTCATTTAAAAAATTCCCAAAACCCTCCTTAAAAAAACTTTTCCCGGTTTTAAATTATAAGGTATTTAAAATTTTGTGTGTCATCAAAATTTTTAGTAAAAGGGCCCTCAGCTGTTTGGGCCCCTTTTTATGAAAACAATCGACACAATTTCATCGGGAAAGGGAAAGAAAAAAACGCTTGGGAAAACTGTTCAAAGAAACAATTTCATTTTATTTAAAAACAGCGGGTTTTTTTCCCACAGTAACTAAAAGGGAAAAATTAAAACTTTTTTGTTTTAATTTAAAATATTCTTTATTTATGATACTTTCAATTATTTTTCTTTTTATTAATTTCTTTTTTATTATGTTTTATCTTAGGGGTTTGAAAACCTTATCTCCATTTTTCCCCACTGTATTTCAAAATTTTTTAAAAAAGGGGAGCAAAAAAACCCAAATTTGAAAGGGGCTCCACAAGGTTTTTTTAAATACGGGACGGAAAAAAATTTTTTTAGAATTTTTTTCCCCAAATTTATGTAGATCTATACTTTAAAAAATAAAAGCAAAATTTCCCAAACATTTAAACTTGCCCCCCGTTTTCCAGAATATTCAAAGTAAAAAAAATGACCCCAATTTTAAAAGGTTTTTAAAAACCCCCAAATCGGACTGAGAAATTTGCACAAACAAAATTTTGGGTTTTTCAATTTTTTCAAATTTTATTAAAATTTTTGTTTTAGTGCTATGTTTTTTTTATTTTAAAAAATTTAAAAATTTTTATTGGGTTTTTTGGCCCTTTTAAAAACCCAAATGGATTTCCTTTTAATAGGTTTTTGAAATGTTTAAAGTCAAAAAGGGAAAAAGGCCCAAAATTTAAAAGCTTAAAAATTCCCTTTTTTGTAAAAAGAGGGATCCTCAAGGGTTTTTGAATAAAAAATTTAATAATGGACAAGTCCATTTCAATGAAGGGCCCGTTTTTTAACCCCAAATTTTTAAAGGGGCATGGGAAAAAAATGTTGTTATTTTTCCCTTTAAATCTGTTTTAATGTATTTGTGCAAAAAAGAAATAATAAACCCCTTAAAAAATTTTTCAAATTTTTATTTTTTTAAAAAAAATTTAATTTTTTTCATGGGGAGACAAAACTCGGGTTTCAAAATCCATTTTCTGCATGGGGCAGTCTACATTTTGCCAAAATTTTTTATAAAACACTTGATGGATTTAGTTATAATACAGAGTATTCGTATTAAGCGTTAAATTTGCCATTTACTTTCTTTGAATTTAACATTTCAGAAACATATTAATAGATCTTGTAACCTTTTTATATTATAATAATAATAATAATAAAAATAATATCTTTATTTAAAGAAGGTTATACATTAATAGCATTACAATAACAATCATATATATCTTATTTCCAATGTGGCCTTCTGAAATAGAAAACAACAACAACAAAAACAACAACAACAACAGGACATGCATAGGAAGAAAAAATTAATGTATAATATGTAATTTTTTAGAATATTACAACTCATATACTTTCTACAGACAATTTGTTTTAACATATACGTTTTATTGCATCAATTCGTTCGTTTGTTCATGTCGTTCGTTCATTTGTTAATTAATTCATTCATTCATTCATTCACTCACTCATTCATTCATATGAACAATATCAATATTGAAATACAGTGCGGTAAATGGAGATATAGGCCTCTCAGCTAAGATACAACAAATGATAGAAAGTAATAATAGAAAATAATATAATTAGAAAGTATCATGAATAAAGTAATATTTTAAATGAACAAAAAAGTTTTACCTTTTCCTTGTGACTGTAGGACAAAAGCTCTTTGAACAGCTTTCAGCGTTATTCATCCTTGCCGATGAATTGCTGTCGATCGTTATCATTAAAAAGAGGCGAACAGCTGATGACGTTACTAAAATTTTGATGACACACAAACTTAAATACTTATAACTTTAACAGAACAGCTTTTTTGAAGGCATGGTTTGGAATATTTAATGACAAAATGTTGACGTTTACGAATCGTATGGAAAAAAGGGAAATTTTAAATTTTCATGAAAAAAAAAGGGGTTTTTTTACCTCAAAATAAAAAAACCCCCATCTCATCGGATAGTTTTTGGTTATTTTCAAAATCACAAAAAACATGTTAAAGGGTTAAACTTGCACAAGGGGGCCCGGGAAATTTTTTTTTTCATTTTCTCTTATTTTTGACTATGAAAACCCATAACATTTATTTACTCGGGGAAAACAGGGGTTGGGGGAAAATTTTTTAAAAAAGAAAGAATACTTTTCCCTACGTCAAAATTTTTTTTCCCCCCGGGGCCCCCACATTAAAAACTGGTACATGTGGAGCTTTTGGGGAACCCGCTGTCTGCCCATTTATTGTACGGTGTGTTTATAATGGTAGTCAAAAACCCAGCTGCCAAACACAACCCCCTTATGGAAATCAATTTTTCCGGGTTAAACCCGGGCAAAAAAAAAAAATCACAGAGCGAATTTATATTAAAAAACTTTTTATGATTCCACTTAAATTAAAAAAAAGTTATCTTTAAATTTTTTATTTTTTTTCCTGTTTAAAAAAAAATGGGCCCCAATAAAATTTAAAAGAAAAATTTAAAGCAATTTTTAAAAATTTTAAATACATTTTTAGGTTCACCGTGGGGGGTTTTTTAAACCAAAGGGGGGCCCCAGGAAATGTAATAAAAACTGCCCCAGTTCCCTTTTCCCTTGGGGGGGAAAAACAGCAATAGGGGAAACAAGCCACCATTTATTGGGGGAAAAAAGGGGTCCGCAAAGGTTTTGAAGTCATCATTGTTTTTTTAAAACCAAAAAATTTGTGGGTTTTGGGTCCTTTTTATATTTTTATAAAGAGGGGAAAAACTTTTTTAAAATCATTTAAGGTAGCCATTACCCCGTAAAGTTTAAAAATTCCAAAATTTTAATGGTTTTCATTTGTTTTTTCCCCCAAATTTTTTCATTGCAAGCTTTAAATTTTAAATTTTGTGTACAGGGGGCAAAACCGGGAAGAGCAACACCGTTTTGGAAGAGTGGGTTTTAAAAGATTTAGTTATTATAAGCAATAACCCCCTTTTATTTTTAAAAAGGCCAAAATTTTTCTAAAAATGACCATCTGTTAAAAAGGTTTTTCTGTAAATTTTTTGATTTTTAAAAAAAAAGCAATATTCATATAAAGGGGTTAATATAGGGGAAGGGAAAAAAATAAAATTTATGAAGAAATAAAGTATTAAAATATTTATACATGAAATGATTTTAAGGGAAATCGTTTTCCCTGAAAAATAAAGTTTTTAAAAAAATTAAATTTAAAAGAAACTTTCTTTTTTTCAAATTGGGGTTTATTTATATTTAAAAATTTTTTAAGGAAAATAGTTCTGATATCTTTGTTCGTTACAGATGCACATTGTAAGTTGGAACCAGAAATATATGAACGCAGATGATGCAGCAAAATATACGGACGGTCTGGCTGTTCTCTCTATTTTGTTTAGATTATCAACACGTGATAATCCTGTATTAGAGCCAGTAATACAAGTTCTACCTGAAGTAAGAGATCCAGGTAATATGATCAAACCAGTTACAGAATTTATTTGAAATTAATTAGCAAATAGTTAGTTTTAAACATGCAAGTGGTACACATGTTTTTAAAAGCACTATTGTATTTTGAAAGGCCCGTTCCCCCAAAATGCGTCCATTTTAATTTCTATTTTTTCTTATTATTTTTTTATTTTTTGTATTCTATTACAGTTTCTAACAAGTTATTCATTGGTCGATTATCTAAACTGTCTTCTTCTTCTGTTGCTTCTTGGCTATTGGTATATTTATGGTAATCTAATATTTTGTATGGAAGTCAAAATACTACTTTAATTACATTTACCTTCTTTTATGACATACTATTTTACATTTAGCGCTATATAGTTCACGTAATAAGCATTGCCATTATTTAAACGTTATAAAAAAATCATGTTTGACGCATTACTATTATTTGAACGTTATAAAAAATCATGTTTGACCTTTTTGAATATAACGTGTCTTGAAAGAAAAAAAATAGAAAAAGAATTATCTATATGAATAATGGGTTGCATTTTCTGAGGCATAGATACGACATATATCTTAATTAAGAATTATTAAAATCAATTCTTTCTTCTGTTGATTATAATATTTTCATATTAGAATAGTGCTTGATCATAAAATGAAATATCTATTTACACTAATCACTAGAGTTTAAGATGAACAGACTGTTAGCAATGTCTGTGATACATTTTAATGGGAAATCATGCAACATTCTCTCTGTATTGGGTGAACGTGGCCATGATACAACACAGATAGATAAATAAGAACTAATAAATAATTCATGTTGGGTGTTCAATATACTTCTTTCTTAAGTTATCAAAAAAAGGTTATTGAATATTTTTTCATTGCTGTATCCTTAATTTTCCGATAAATTTTCAACTTTAATTTTAATTTTCATCTAGATGATCATACATTGATTACAATTCCTGCAACTTCAATCAAACATTTCCTGCCAAAGTTTCCAGACCGTTACTTCAGATACCATGGTTCTTTGACAACACCAAACTGTAACCAAGCAGTGATTTGGAGTGTGTTTGAACAACCGCAATTCATTTCAGAAAGACAGGTAGGCTTGTACTGTAAAAATATTGGACCAGCAAATTATAATGTACCTTGTACCAAATACTTTCTTATTATATAATTAATATTTTCATCTGCTTTTCCTCATGCTTTTTTTAGATAAAACCTTAAACTTGATTTTGCCATTGAATATTCTTATTATCATTCATATATCAAAGAAGAATTTCACATATAGATTTGTTAATCCTTAGGGTAAAAATCATTAGAAGCAACTTAAAGCACTCTATAGATAAATAAATGCACAGTGATCTGATTTACCTCCAGAAACAGTGTGCATAGGACCATACGGCAACTTTCTTCTCAATCATCACAAGCATATTATGAGGGAACATCAAATACTGCTTTTTACACAGTTCTCCCCCGTGTTCACTAACTGGTCCTTTTAATACCAGTACCAAAACGTGGCCCAAGGGTTAAGCAGATGTTTAACTATCAGTCCATAAATTGTACACGGTTCCACTACGATTAAATTATCTTATTACATTTTATATGTCATTATAGCACATTTTATCTAAAAAGAACAATAACTTTTGTAATACATAACAAATTTCCTGAAGCATTCAAATGTTTGATTTATACTTTTTGATGTGAAATCATTTCCGCAATATATATAGCTGTGTAATTGTGACTCATATCTGTACAGGTATCAAAGTCATGTCAAACAAAAACATACACTTATTTTTTCAGATATAATACTTTTAAATCATTTCCATTCGATTAAACTCGTCACAACTACTGTTATTTCAAATATTGAATCATTTCCGCCTTGGTTATCACGTTGTCTTTATTGTCTTTCAGTTGAACTATTTCCGTCAAATGCTTGCATCCTCAACTCATCTAGAAACCAAATTACAGAGACAACTTGACCTAGCTACAAATGGTAAATTTATTATTTGTTTAACTGTCTTACAGATAATGTCGGTAATGTTTAAAGACGAATGCCAAAACACATTAAAGGATTAGCCGATATTTTATAAAAGATTGTCTTCGATGTGTGTTTGTTTCTTTATTTCCTATTCAATTCAATTATAAAATACAAGTGATTAATAAGTCTCTAAAGTTGAATACGACTCATTATTTAGGCGATTCCTTATTCGTAATGACCTTCCTGATAATATCAAGTCTGCTACATCTGTGAACCATTTTAAAACCTTATCTTTGAGATATTATCACACATCGATGTTTACAAATTGATAATCTCAAGTACGTATTAACATTTATGTATTTTCTAATAGTTTAAATATGTTAAATTTATATTGTTCCTTGTTGAGGGTCTCATGAAAGATTAATATGTTGTTCAAATGAGTTGTCTCGTTAAATAAAGTCTTTATTATTATTATTATTATATTTCAGGTCGTGTATTCAGTAGACGGATTAGATTAATCGACAACTTTCGACCTATCTATGAACTTCATGGACGTCATGTTTATAGGAGTTTCAAACATTTTGACGTCAAACCGTCGTTAAGCAAATATTATAAAGAACAGTCTTGTTTTAAGCCTTTTGATTTTAAAAGTGGTTCTAAAAGTTATCCACTGAAACCTCCAAATTATCTTCCCATTCTGTCAAAGTACTGAATACAGTATGGTTGTGAATATAATTTATTAAAGTTTTCAAAAGTAAATGTATTTCTTTGTTTGTTTCTTTCTTTCTTCTCTGGAATCGAAAAACCAGCGCTTCTACATACCTTCAGTTTAGAAACAGTGCCTGGGAGAGTCGGTGTCCTCCATGGATAAAAGACTGGAACATACCCGTGTTTTTTTGTCAATTTCATATTAGACAAGTATTATGAAAATAAATGAGCCGCGCCATGACAAAACCAACATAGTACGTTTGCGACCAGCAAGGATCCAGACCAGCCGGCGCATCCGTGCAATCTGATCAGGATCCATGCTGTTCGATAAAAAACCGTATTACTGGTAGAGAATATGATAGCAAACAGCATGGATCCTGATCAGACTGCGCGGATGCGCATGTTGGTTTAGATCCATGCTGGTCGCAAAAGCACAAGCACTATGTTGGTTTTGTCATGGTGCGGCTCAAATGATGCTGGTCAGAAACTCTACCATTTACAAATATATATCTATCTTTCACAAGAATGACTTGTTTTAAGAGTAAGTGCAGACGTGTGAGTTGGGTGCTTGTAATTAAGATGAACTTACAGTAGGTTTGTGATCGGGCATGCCTGTTTAAATATGAAAGACAAAGAAAATAATCTTTTACAATCCATGCATTCTTGAAAGTATAAATTTAGTACAATATATCTGTTTATTCAATAATTCCAATAAATGGAAATGTTTTATAGGCAGTACCATCATGGCAGCTCTGTTTTAAAATGAATATCTGAAATAAATACAAATGTTCAATTTGAGGCCACCTCATTAGAGTTAATCAGATACATTGCGTGTGATAACTTTGAAATGAAGATGAAGCCAGAGACGGTTTGGGCATTGCCTCATTTAGCTTAATTTTTGTTGCTGTTTTGTAACCATGTTTAGGTCATGTTTGATAGTTTCTTTTTTCTATTTCGCCTGGTTTTGTGAATAAGCTGAGTTATAATTGAACCAAAGTTGTTCTAGGTACATGCAAGGTTTGGTGCCTGGGATCATCATTTATAAAGCAAGTTTGTGTTGTGGCCAGAAGACGCCCAGAAGGTATCAATCTTGGCCTGATTGGTGCTGAGGTGCTGTGGCAAGGGTATAGAGGTTTGTCAATATTAGATGTCGTCAAACAATTGAGGGCATTAATGGCTATTGTGGACACGCCAGACATAATTATTTTGCATTTTGGTGATAATGATTCAGGTCGCATAGGTTTGAAGAGTATTCGCTTTCACATAGATTCTATAATAAACTTTATAAAGACAATTTTCATAACTGCAAAATAATGTGGTCACAGATACTACCACGTACTTCATGGCGTTATTCTGATAATCTGGCTGCCATGGAGGAATCTAGAAAGAGAATTAATGCGTACGCTGCGACAAAGGTTATCCCAAAAAATGGTGCCTATATTAAGCATCCTGAGTTAAGGGAGGTAACTCCAGAACTGTTTGCATCAGACGGGGTTCATTTAACTTTCCTTGGAAATTGTATATTTATCACACAATTATCATCTGCATTACAGGCATTTATTTGGGATGGAATAAAGTGTTTCAAATAGATAACTTGGCATCTGAATGTTTCTCGTACTCATCCAGCAAACTGTACCGATATATTGTATTTTAGTGATCGCTGTTTCCAAAAGAATTTTTTCTCTTTGTTTTTTTGGCGGTGGCTTCAGCGAGTCACAGATTTGTCTGTGAAGCGCTGAAGCCATATGCCGGACAGCGATCTACGAACTTACTTTATCATACTAACGTTGGTATTCTAATATTTTAAAACATAGACATCGGCATGGCTTGACGACTGACTCCCAGGGTCAGCCATTGATGTTCACATACGCGGTGCTCCATTTTCGAACAATTAAAATTCAAGTTGTGCATTAAAATTCAGTTTTGACATCTGTGAACTATTTCCATCATAGAGAATTATGTTGAACTATTTGAGCTATATATATTTCGCCAGTTAAATTCATTTCAATTATTGGAACAGTTAGTTATTTCAGTTAACTTTAGCCCAAGTTGGGCTTGTGATTGAATTTTTAGCCTTTTGTGGCTAGCCCGAGTTGGGCTTGTACTTAAATTTAGCATTTTGTGGCTCTGAACAGTTTGCTGGTAGGTCGCCCTTAATGACGATTCGTCCGGCGACTGAATGACTTAATTTGGGTCAACAGATGAGCACGAGAAGTTCGGGAACCATGCCAAGACATTTCCAAACCGGGTACAAGAACGTCATGAAGTTAAATGTAAATGAAGAAATAAAATAATTTTAAAATTTACACTGTAATTTATCAAATTTTTAGGTCGGTGGAATGTGGAACGACAGATGTGCTCTGGTGAAAGTCAAGTTTGAAAAAAGCAAGATGAAATAGCTTAAAATATTTTGGTAAAGGGTTTTCACTCGGGTGGCTGTCGTTCGGCAATCGGTTGACCTCGAATCTCCCAATAATCAGATACATTGCGTGTGATAACTTTGAAATGAAGATAAGTTTGGTCTGAACTCAGATTTACTGTTTTCATGGTATCATTGATATATCACAGAGTCAGTATTGGCTATGTAAATACTCATGACAAAGGGAAATATTTCTTGAAAGTGTCTGTACATATATATTACATTTGATGCAATTTGAAAGATTTTTTTCCACATTGATTTAATGGCAGTTTTAACATAGCTATTTCGTATACAGCGCATTATTTAGGACTCTTACATTTCAACTGACTTTTATCTTTTCGTGCAATATTATAAGTTTGTAAGAATGTTTATAAGTGATGGTTATGTGATCGTATATGCTTATAAACTCTCACCTTGTGGTTCTTGTAATCAGGTATCAGCCATTTATACTGAGACATACAGCATGTAAATGCATGTCAAAATCTGTATAACTAATAATACAGATGGTTTTCTAAAGCAAATTTTATTGTAACCTATTGACCTATGGTTTAATTTATGACAGCTGTTTATATTTTTATTCGCCAATACAAACTGACACTGTGGATGTTGTATTATCTATGTGTTATTCAAAGGCAAGGTGGACAGTTTTATGTTGCCGTCATCATCAGCTGACCTGTAATAAATCCCATAATTTAAATCCATATGGGGATGAGGCTCAACTCATGCAGTCACATGATATGACGGTATTCTTTACATTGTCATCTTTATAGACAATTCAGTATATACTTTTCATATGTGATTGTTTAATTATGAAATGGCCAGCTAATTATCTATACACATTATCTTAAGATAGTATTCTAAACTCATCTTAATTATTTTATTATGAAAAGCGAGGAAAATGAAGAAAATTGTGGTCAGATACTTCAGTCTTTTTCTTATATTTCACTTTATGCCAGGGAATTGTCAGGAATCACCACGACTTCGGCAATTTACGTGTATGTTATCCAAGTTCTTTTGTTGTTGTTGTTTGTATTGTTGTTGTTGGTGGTGTTAACGTTGTTGATGATGTTTTTAATTATTTCTGTCAGACAATTCAAACAGATTTGTCATTATTTAGTAATAAAGTTCTTGTACTTAAAATATTGCAACATTATTGATTTTTTATATTATTTTAACAATACTTTGATAGATATTTGGGTAGTATGATTAACATAATATATAATAATAATATAAATAATGTTTCTACACCTATATGATATTTAAGAAGAATATGATTTCTACTAGAAGTGATATACTTTAAATGCTTGTTAAATTTGCCAGTGTTTCAAGGCCTCATACAGTAATGTTTCTCATTTTTTTACATTTTTATACAAATTTAAATAAATAAGTTATATAAAATTTAAAAAAATGTCTGTGAATGTCTCTAAAACTGTATTTAGCAATCTCATGAATATTTCATTGTAAAAGGGGCGTTGGCATATTGGTTAAGGTGCCTGTCTCTCAATCAAGTGATTTTGGGTTAGAGCAATACTAAGGTCACACCCATGTCTTCTCGTGTGACATCAATCAGTTCTGGGAACCTCCAAGAAGTACTGTCGAATATTGTTCAAATGAGCTTCATGCTTTCATCATTATCGAGATAACAGAAATGGGTTAATCCTTACCCTATATATCGTAAATGAGCTTGTCCATATGTCAACCTGGACAAAACCATTCATCATTTTAGGGTTATTTTCGAAATAAGTACTGACTGAATAGCGAACACCATGATCAGACGACACGAAGGTGCAGATTGGTCTTGCTCGCATTGGATGGATTCAGTTGCCACCAGCTGGTTAAGGCTTAAAACTTAAATATTCCATTTTATAGTCATGTAAGAAATTCAGTGGGCTCTTTGTTCAAACAAAAAAGCATAATTCCAATGTTTAATACCTAAATCATTTTCTTCACATGATATAGCTTTAACATCAAAATTATATGCTTTTTATAATTAGACCAATTTGCAATAACCATTGTAAATTTCTGTATCATACAATTACATTCAAACAAATAGTGGAAATTTAATTATTAACCACGAGTATGTACTTTATTTATTATTGTAGATTCATCAAACTGGACCTATGGAGATAATGAAAATGGTAATGGATACATTCTTTGTCTATCTTATACACACTTATTTTATTTTTAAAAAATAGTCATATTAATTAATCTGGTTAAGTCCACTCGTTTGCACGTGTAACGAATTTAAATTTTAATATATTCTATCTCAGTATGAATAAATTATTTATGTTTAGTATGATTTTATATATGACCCAGTGTTTTGTGCTAATACATGCATAATTAAGTAAGGCATATCTTATATGTGTTTTTGGCATGTTGAATATCTATGATAGGTTAATTTTAGTACCATAAAAGAATAAAGTTATCTCTTATTATTATGCGTTAGTTGAATCTGCATGCACTTGTAGTACGTTTTCGCTGATTGATTTTTTTTTCAATTAATATTTTTTTTCAATTTCTATTTAATTATAAATAATTGTTAACAGGAATTCGTTCTCACTTGTGGTCTTTCATTTCCTAGGTCCGAGATACTGGCCTATTTCGCATCCACA